GTAGTAGTCAGCACAGATCCCTGACTTATACCAAACTCAGAGCCCCTGCTCGTAATCGCTCCATGACCCTCTTTACCATAATGTGCTGGTAGGACAGACAAGAGCTGAGGTCATTCAAAATGACTAATACTCCCTGACTGGTTTGGCTCAGTGGATAGAGCGTCGGCCTATGGACTGAAAGGTCCCAGGTTTGATGTTAGTCAAGGGCATGTACCTTGGTTGCCAGCACATCCCCAGTGGGGGGTGTGCAAGAGGCAGCTGATGGATGTTCCTCTCTCACCGATATTTCTAACTCTCTATCCCGCTCCCTTCCTCTCTGTAAAAAATCAATAATATATATATATATATTTTTTAAAAGATGACTAATATTGTAGTGCTAACTGTGCTTACACAATACATGGAGATTGCAGGTTCTGCTCACTTTCTAGACCTTCTTAAAGTCATGGATTCCAAGGAATTCTATGGACCAATTTTTCACTGTTGTGGGAGAGAGAAAACAAATAATACAAAGAGCAGAACAGAATAGAAAAAGAGATGAAGGGAGTGTGGTGAGTAAAACATAAGCACGCTGGCCACCCTTTGGTGGGTAAACAGAAGTGCCAGGAAAGGAGAGTAGCCAGGTGCTCAGTTCCAAAGGGAGCCACCCCATGCCTCCTAGCGAATTTTCCTAAAATTAGCAGTGGGAAGTTTGTTCTGAATTTCCCTGTTTGTTGCCCTTCCACACATTGCTAAAACGACTTTCTCGGTTATTGTTTTAAAATTTTCAGGAGTACTAGCCAAACTATTTACCTTTGTCTATTAAAATTTGATATGTTCCACTTAGTTATTTTTTATAGAGAGGTGATGTCTTCCTCCCCCCAACACACCCCCCAATATATTTATTATGGGGATGGAGGAGATGGGAACTGTGGCTGTTAAAAAAATCTGCTTTGTAACTTGTAATGGTCATTGTCTCACTGTCCCCTGAAGGATCCAGCACACTAAAGTGAAGTTGTAACTTGAAGCTCAGAGCAAAATATGCACGAAACCAATTCAACCTCCACCCCCAAGAGAAATGCCTAAATGTTTCAAAATTACAGTGCCGGAAGCATTTCTTTCAAACATTCATCTTAGGAAGAACCTGTGAAAGGGGATTTTTGTTCTTTTTCATTGAGTCAGTATCACTAATAAAAAGCCCCCTGAGGAGTATTTTTCAATTTACTCATTTTATTTGTTGTTCAGTACTTTTTACATTATATTTCTTAGACTCCCTCCTCCCTTCACTTTTCTCTCGCAAAAGGGTAATCAAATTGAGATAAACCTAAGTTCAGGCTTATGTCACTTTTTCTCTGACCCCTTTTGTTCCCCAGTCCCAATTCCTATTTCTCCAGCTCAAATTCCTAAAGAAAAATTATGAAGGGGGGAAAAATAAGGAAGGCTTTTGGGGTGCCCTTTTACCACTCAGAGCCCAAGATAGTCTTGGTGGATCAAGAAAAGAGTGGCTCAAGAGGATTGGATGAAAAATGTGAAGGAACTAAGAAGTATAGATTGATAGTTACAAAATAGTCTAAGGGATGTAAAGTACAGCCTGGGAAATAGAGTCAACTAGAGGCCCAATGCACAAAAATTCATGCAAGAGTAGTCCTTCCCCTGGGTGCCAGCATGGGCTTCCCTCTGGCACCCAGGTCCCAGGCTTCCCTCCTCTGACTACCCACAGGCACTTGGGATCAGGGCTGGCTTCCCTCCAGCCCTGGCTTTGTCAGGAAGGATGTCTGGAAGATGTCCGGTCTAATTAGCCTATTACCCTTTTATTATTATAGATGATATTATGACAACTGTGTATGTGGTAGCAGGTGAGTACTGAAAATAGCAGGGAACACTTTGTAAATTACGTGCTCGTCTAACCAGTAGCCTGTACACCTGAAACTAATACAAAATAATATTGAGCTTAAACTAAGGAAAAAAAGACTAGTGCAGGGTGCTTAAGGTCTCTCCTAACAGAAACTGCTACCCAGAAGCTTGAGCAATTTACACTATTTAATGGACTTATTAGAAATTGGCCTCTTTCTTCTTTTTTAAATAACATAACAACATATTGGTATCCGACTTTTTACAAAATTCATGAAATGAACAATTCTTGAGAAGGTTTTTTCTTCTCTCTAAATTATAGGATGATAAAGTGGCAATAGCAGTGAGCTTGCAGCAAGGTACCTGTAAGTCAGTGAATAGTACCACCTTAATGCGTGGGTGTGTGTGTGTGGGGGGGGGGAGGGATGAAGTAGGCGTAGAAAACCAGAGTTCACTCCTAAAGTATGTTGAGAGAATATAATTATAGAAACAAATATTTTAAATATTTTATTTATGAGGATTTGACTTAATATTTCCTTGTTTATTCTTATCTGTATTCACTGCAAATGTAGCCTGTCTTTTCTTTGTTTCTGCTTTTGTGGGTGCTTCTCTTGTGCAGCTGTAACCCAGGGTCAAACCAGGCTCAGGCTTGGACTGGATTCCTACAATGTCCTACCTTTTAGAAAGTTCCCCTGCTGACAATGGCCCCACCCTTTTCTTTCAGCATTTAGGGTGCTGCTTACTGCCTGTTAGAGAGGGTGGCTTAAGTATTGTTGGCACATTTTTTCCCCTAATAGCAGTCTTCCCAGGAAGGCGGGGGGAAGGGGGGGAGGAGTAGGGAGATGAGGGGTGATGAGGCTTTGAGAGTTGCATATCATGACTGGTCTGTGGGGGAGCAGAGCTTGGACTTAAAGCTGGGTTCCGCAAACATTTAGGCTCATCTTCACCTACTGCTAGGCTGCCTCCTCCTCGCAAAGGACCTCATTTGCTGGAAGCTTTGGAAAAGACCTTGACTCAGAGCTTGCCTCCAGCAGATACCCCACCGCCAAGAAGCAGGCCACCCAGAACTGAAGGCCAGCTAATGTGCCTTTGACCGAGCTAGGGTTTCCTGTCATTAGCTCCCGAGTTTTTGTTTTTTTGCTTTGTTTTTGTTTTTTTTCCAGAGAGACCCTGATGCCACAGAAACAAGCTAATGTAAACCCTGAGCCCAGCTTTAAGGATGAGAGCAGGCGGGAGGAGGGCTGCAATCCTCTGGGTATAAACAAAAGCCCAGGAACTTGGTGTCAGAGAGCCCTTTTCCAGAGTTTGGGGTTAGTTCACTTCACCACAGGAAGTCATGCTCCCCACCTCGCTCTCACCTCTTCCACTCCAACTGTGGGGCTCCCTTTGGTCAAGAAAAAGACTCCCCATGTTATTAAACAAAGGCTACCCCCAAACTGGCAATTATTTAGGCAGGTTTATCCTTCACACTTTTCTAAATTTTCTACAAAGAGAATGTTGCTTTAAAAAGCTCAGCATTTAAAAAAAAGTGTATGGTGGGTTTCCTAAGTTATCACCTCCTGCAGATTGCAGTGAAAAATGGGAGAAAGTAAGGAGGAATTTGAGACGGTGTGCCTTAAAAGCACTATGTAAACATTACTTGAAAACAAGAAAATTCTATTGAAATACAAATTGGTGTTTTGTATTATAGTTTTACTTTGCCAATTAGACTAAGACCCTCTCTACTCCGGTGTGTGGGCTTTAAGGGTTTCTGAACTAATTGCAATTTTAAGCATTGGAGTATGTTTCAGGCTAAAGAAAGATGTGTGTGTGTGTGTGTGTGTGTGTGTGTGTGTGTGTGTGTGTAAAAGGGCAACCATATTATTTTGAAGAGTGTGTACCTTTCAACACATCTTGGCCCCAGGTGACTCTTGGGGCCTCAAAAGCCTCCTGTTCCTGCCTTCCAGTAACCCCGCCTCAGGAAGAGACAGAATCAGACATTAATGAGAATTACACTTGGAAACTCAGTGAACAAAGGTGATCACCACCACCCAGGACAATGACCCGATCCCTGTCCAGAGCCAGGAGGCCACCTTGAAGTTACCTTCCAGACCAGACTCAGTAAATAGCACATGCTGATGCCAGGGCACTCACTTTTCACAATGCGTTTTATTATTCGTAAAAAAATAAACTTATTTACATTTGCTAATTAACTGGTAGTGCAGCCTCCAGCAGCGGTTTGTTCCCCCTGAGCATGGTCATTAGGTACCGAACAGGCTCAGTGCCAGGAGGGAGGAAGACAGTGAGTGGGCCGGGGAGGTGGTGTTGCAAGGGGAGCAGGGTGGGGGAGTGGAGGACAGGTAGGGACAATCAGGAGTGGAAGGGGACTCTGCAAGGAGGGGGTAGAGGAAAGACTGAAGGACACGGAGCCTGGAGAAGTCAGGAGGGGGTGACTCACCCCTAGGAGGGGACAGGATCGACCTAAGCCTGGTCAGGAAGGGTAGGGAGCCCACGGGAGAGAGGGGTCTGCCTGCAGCACGGAGGCCTAGCTGCTAGGAGCATGGGGGCAAAAGGCTCAGGTGGTCTCAGACTGCTCCCGCTTCTGGGACAGAGAGAGGGCACCCGCCGGTAGGTCTGTCTGCCTGGAGGGCGCCGCCCTCTGGGATACTAAGCCCACCCAGGAATTCACTCTCCTCTCTTTGCAACTTGAAAACCTGCCCGATGTGGGTCTCAGTGAAGATGCCTGTCTTTGAAGCCGGTTGTCAGGGAGAGAGCATCCTAACCAGCCTAATGGAATTGCTGGGCTGTGCGGAGAGTGCCATCACGTCTAATGCATATATAAATATATATGGAGCGGCTGGAACACTGACCCCATGTGCTCGGCGCTGGGCTCTGAAGGCAGCGTGAGGGGCTACACTGCTGGAGCCTGAGGTCAGCTCTGAGCCAGGCAAGCGTTTCCCGGAGAGGTCCCCTCTGCAGCCTTAGGTGCCCGCGATGACAGCAACGCAGCCGACCCTAGGGCTCTGCCCCCCATGCCCGCCACTTTTCATGTTCAAAATTCGGCGTGGGGGGTGTCTAGGAGAATCCAATGGAACTTTCCCCCATTCTCTGGGGGTTCTCACGTAGTCTTCCCTTCTTTCCGTGGCCCCCAAACGCAGGCGCTTAACCAGTAATCCTTGGCGTTCAAATTCGACCTAAGCGGTGGTCCCACAGAGTCTTCCAGCAGCTGAAACTTCTTTGGTGTCGGAGTCGGGTCGTCCCGAGACCACAAACGGCCACGTCTGTAAAATCAAAAGAGCGTCAGATGTAAGAGGAGAAATGGCAATCTCAAACCGAAACCACTCAGCTAAGCGGTCCTGGTTCTGAGTAGCTCAGACTTCATCAGCGCTCTGGAATGTGCCTGTCCTCTCTGTCCTCTCTCTAAACTAGAATTTAAAATTTACCGGATTTTGATTGTGTAAGAAGTGAAGGGGGTCCTGAACTCTGCCCTCACCATCATCCAGTGAAACTTGAAGGAATCAGGAATTTTGTCATATAATCCTCTTCCCCCAACACACATACACACACACACACACACACACACACACACACACACACACACCATCAGCCCTGCGCTCTCAAGCCAGAGTTGGCAGGTCAGAGAGGGACTTTCCAGACAGATCCCTTTGGGGGAAATCTCTGCTATTCTTCAAGAATTAAAAAATCCAAATCCTTTTTAACATTAAAAGCTCGGCCTTCCCTCCTTCTCTTCAGAAAGTAGGGCCTGTTCAATCAGATCTGTCAGGCTCTTAGCTGGGGAAAGTTGCCATTTCCTCTGCAAAGCACCCAGATTCACCCCGTACGTCGGGTACCAGCCCACAGGAGTCACTGGGCCAACACCGCGTACAAGGATCACAGTGATGCGAACCCAGAGGGTGGCGGTTCTCCTCCAGGAGGATGGCTGGCTCCTCCCGTGCTTTGGGGAGAAACGAGCCTGGGGTCCTCCCCACCCGCACCAGAACCCTTCTTTGGGGTTCTTCCCAGTGCGCTGACTCCGCCCCTGGCCTCGAGCGCGGCGCCCCTACCAGGTTCACGGGGTGCACGTAGCCGTTCTCGTAGCGGTCCTCCTGCAGCAGCTGCCGCAGGTGCGCGATGTAGCTGGAAGCCAGGCGCAGCGTGTCCAGCTTGGAGAGCTTGGTGTCGGGGGGCACCCAGGGCAGGCTGGTTTTGAGCCTGGAGAAGGCTTTGCTCAGCACGCGCATCCGGGCGCGCTCGCGGGCGTTGGCCGCGTTCCGCTGCGACTGCTTGCACTCGGCGGCCGAGCCCTTGGGCGGGAGGGGCTTCTTGCCGCCGCCCCCCGCCGCCCGGGGCCGCTTTCTCTTGCAGCCTCCGGCGCCGCCCGCCGCGCCCAGCGCGCACGGCTCCTCCTCGCCGTAGGGGTCTTCGTCTTCCGCCGACGAGTGGTCACTGGGGGAGGCATAGCCGCGCTCTGCGCCGCGGAGGGGCGGCCTCCTGGACGCGGGGACCGGGTACCCTCGCTGCAGCCCCCGCAGCTCCATGTCCTCTGGGTCGCTCACGGAGCCGGTGGACATCGCTGCGCCCCCCACGCCCTCGCGCGGCCGCCTCCCGCCCCGGGCCGGTCTCCAGGCCTCCGCCTGGTGCTCCTTCGGAGGCGGGGTCGGGCCGGCCTTGGCGGAGGACCGGGGACCTGGGTCCCGCGGCGGGAGTGAGCCTGTCGCGAAGGAGAGCGCGCGGCCCAGAAGTCGGCGCCGGGCCCGCCTCGGCCCGCACTCCCGAGACAGCGCCTTTTGACCGGACTATTTATCTGTACTGCTCGGAACAAACCGCCCCTGGCCAAAATGAGAGGGAGGGGGGAAGGTGGGGCGGGGGCGTGGAAGGGGTGGGGACGGCTTTTCTGAGCATGGTAGGGGCGGGGAAGAAGTCTTTGCTAAACCGAGATTGAGGGACCCTTAGATGGTCGCTGTGAGATGTGTGTGTTGGGAGACTGAAGGAGGGGACCTTGATCTTATGCATCCCACTCCCACCCCAATTTACCTTCGCGACACACTTAGAAACCCCAGGATGGCGACCCCTGCTTTGCTCCGTTTCTCAGCAAAACACTGTGTTTTCCAAGTTCATCAGTCATATGATTGCCTATCCAAGCCTTGCCTAACAAAAGAATAAAAGCAAAACATCACCGCACAATTTCTCCCTTTCCTCCTCCTTTTCCTTTGACATCGCTTTATGGTCTACAAAGCACCTTTATCTTCTTTGGCTCGTTTCATTTCCAAACATCTATGACTTAAATGTTATTATCTCCACTTTGCAGAACGTGAATTTAAACTGCAGGGAGAGATATTAAGTAAAGGACCCCAAATCACCAGGCTGGTAAGTAGAAATGGCCTCAAAATCCATGGTTGGAATCCCTGGCTCCTCCATATTCCAGTGGGCTCCCCACTTTTCTAGTCTTGAGAGTTCCGTGGGTGATTTTGTTGCTAATAATGCAATGCATAGATTCATTATAGTCTAGGAGGCGATTACTATTTAGGTTGTGTGAGTGCGCTTCTGGATGCTGAATGCTAAGTCAGCACAACCATTCAAAGTAAAAAAAAAAAAAAAAAAAAAAAAAAAAAAAAAAAAAGTCAAAACAGCCCCCAGAATTACCCTGACCCACACCAACCAAAAATTAAACAGCCTGCCCCTCATCCCCAAAGGAAACAAAACAAAACTGTGAACTGCCTGCTGTCTAGTGGTTTTCTAACCTGCAGGAAATTTGCAGTGCGTGGTCTGGGGTGTGGACTTCATTTTGGAGGTGATCACCAATGGAGTGCTACTGAGACCCTGCTGTGTGCCATCACTGCGCTCAGCGCCCTGTGACTGCCTGCTAAGTAATTAAGAATAAAATCCCAAACAACAAAATAATTAAAATTTTATCAGCTTGGGATGGGCTTACTCCCTGAGCTTGCACACCCGTCTTAGGAGGTTGCTTGTCTTTCCCCTAAGGACGCGGGCTCCCAAGCTGAGCGAAGTGCAAGGAGAAGGATGGATATGCAGTCAGCCAGGACAGAGGGGTCCAGCCTCACTAGGCGGCTCCTCCTGCAGAACATATGCCCCCAAGCTCACAGCCTGAAGGGCCACAGCAGGTGGCTGCCTGGCTGACTTCATCACTCAGGCATCAGTCCACCTTAGTCTCCCAGACTGAGTCTATATCCTGGGGGATGGTTCACACAACCCGTCCTGCTCCACCCCACTCCACCCCCACCCACCCCAGCTTTACAGAGGTTTTCTCCCTGTATATTTATTAATTTTGTTAGGGGGAGGGAGGGGCTCCTTCTGGCATCAGATGAGTAAAAAGAACTCTGTCTTTCAGTTTTCTCTGGGCCCGGGAAAACGCAGGGAGTATTTGACAGAGCATATAGCAAGCTTTCCTAGAAGGCTTGAACTTGAACTTGACTCTGGTGCGCATGAAGGAGGGAAGCAAAAAGGGAGAAGAGGGAGCAACAAGATGTAAAGGACAGACCTAAGGCCAGCTTTTTGCATCGCCTATTGATGACTTGAGGCTATCAGTATGAATACATAGCCTCACACATTAGGAGCAGGCATATAGGTTTTAAAAATCTGGATTGTTTATACAGGTGCAGAACAAAGTCTTTCTTTAGAAAGATTAATGGTGGGGAGAGCGCTAGATTTTCTCTAAACAGTCGCAAAAACTGCACCAGCCTCAGCGCTAAGCGGGTCATAGCCAGTTTCTTTTGCTTTAAAGTACCGCCTGACCCCAACAGTTTGTGCTTATATTTTTCATAGTTCTTTTCCTTTTCTTTTTCCTTCTCCTTTTCTCTTCTCTTCTGTTCCCTTTCCTCTCTCCCTTCTTCTTTCTTTCCCTCCTTCCCTCTGGTTTCTTTTCTTTTTTTCTTTTTTTTTAAGAGATGGTTAATTTCTCTATTTTTCTTTTATCTTTCATTTCGCTTTCCCTACATTTCTTTCTTGTTATATTTTACTCATTTCCCCCCAGGTTGCAGACCCCTATTGAAGATTGGGACATATGTCTTCATGTACATTTCATATTAGTATAGAACTTCAGTTTACTTTAAAATATCTGTAATAATAGCTGACATTTTCACCTCTTTTCACTTTAAAAATACTTTTACTTTTCTTTCTATGACTACACAGCTCCATGTGCTGAACAATGCAAGAATAACTATTTCTTTTGGAAGCCCAGTTGTTTTAATTGTTGTGGCAAGCTATCACACATTGCAAATGAATAATACTTTATTTTTATATTTAAAAATACATTAAAAACAATTCCTATGTGCTCATGTTTTACAGCCTTTTAGATTTGTAACATGAATATATAGTTGTTTATAGTATACATTGAGGGTCCTAAAACTCTTTAAGATTTTTCTTAAAGTATGCAAAAGGGGGTAGGGTTAAGTTTACATTATAAAACAAACATTAGTACATTTAATAATGTTTCCTATTCCTGCTTATTGGTGGTATGATTTTAGGCAACTTGCTTTATCTGAGGCCCAGATTCCTAATCTGTAAAATGAATGGTCTGTCTTGTGAGGACCAAGAAGTATATGAGCAATTGCTTGGGCCAGAGCCTGGTACTGGGGAGAAGATCAATAAATGCTAATTATTTTTATCACTGTGAATTGCCTTGCTCAACATCACAGGGCCAATGTGTCAGAGCCTGGAGCAGACCCTGATTTCATACTCCTGGGCTTGTTCCAGGCTTTACATAGCACTGGGATGTTTCATTCACTTTAACTGCAGGCTTCTAGGGTTTGAAGTCACAGTTCCGTTGCCTGACATTTTCCACAGGTCCCATTTTTTTAAAAAATATATTTTTATTGATTTGTTACAGAGAGGAAGAGAGAGGGATAGAGAGTTAAAAACATTGATGAGAGAGAGTCATCGATTAGCTGCCTCTTGCACACCCCCCACTGGGGATGTGCCCACAACCAAGGTACATGCCCTTGATCAGAATCGAACCTGGGACCTTTCAGTCCACAGGCCGATGCTCTATCCACTGAGCCAAACCAGTTTCAGCTCCACGGGTCCCATTGGGTCCTTACTGAGGGAAATGTATGGGACGGCTTTAGCAACTTCTTCTTTCTCCAAGTTCTCTCACCGTAAAGTCACAGCACTTCCTAAGCCTCACTTTCCCTGTTTGAAAAGTAGAATAAAACTCCTGAATCAGAGGTACTGAAGCACTAAATGAGGTTGAGGTGCATGCTCAGGTGTAACACAAAAAAAATGTTTATATTAAAAGAATTTTTTTAAATGTAGACTTTGGCTTTTAAAAAGGGAGGATGAGGTGGTATGATAAGTATGGACCACAGAAAAGGACATTTATTGCCACTCCCCCTTCCAGCGCTATAGAAAGTCCTGGGCGAGGAAGTTGAAGCGGGGCAGGTAGGATGGCTGTAGGGCTTGGGGAGAGCAGGGGCTGCACCTGTATCCTGTGAATACCAAGCAAAACACCTAGTAAAACAAGTGGGTGTTTAAGAAATTGTTGTGGGAATGCATTCGGAAGGATGGACTACTCCCCACATGACTTTCATGGGGGTGTCCCCGCACAGCCTCCTAAAGTTCTGATCTGTCCAGTGGGCTGAAGAAATTGCCCAGACTGTCCATCTAAAAAAAACCACAGAGTCTAAAAAAAAAACCACTGGCCGATATGGATGCCACATGAGACTACTGAGCACTTGAAATGTGGCTAGTCATATGCAGTATTGCAAAATATACACCAGAGTGAGAACAATTTGAATAAAAGAAATATAAACTATCTCATTAATTATTTAAAAAATATATGCTAAACAATGATAATATTTCAGATAGCTAGGGTTAAAGGAAATATATGAATATAAACTAATTCCACCTGTTTCTTTTTATAAAATGGCTACTACAAATGCAGATTTCATATGCAGCTCGCATTATATTTCCATTGGATAATTCGGGGATTAACTCTGCAACTGTGCTTTGAGTGTCTCCTGTTTGCTGTGGCAGGTGTTGGTGAGCCTGACTCTCGCCCACTCGGAGGGCACATTCTCGTGGGAAAAAGCAGGATAATGTGGGAAGCACACATGACATCACGTCTCCTCTCGCTTGTCCTTTTCTGAGCCATCTCGCCTGCATCTCACCGCGTGCCCCCAGCCTCTTCTCCTCAGCCAAGCCCACAACACGTGCAGAAACACTTCCGGTTTGGTTTTGCACGGCCCTTTGTAGCCTAGGAGAAGGTGGCATGGACCCCCAGGCAGGATGAGCCAACCTGCGGGCACGGCGGGGTCTCTGGTGCTCAGTTCAAGGAACTTTTCAGAGCCGACCTGGATACAAAGTATGATATCCAGGCCAGACAGACGCTCCAGTCTTGTAGTGTGCAGATCACGTGGTGTACAGGTCAACGCTGGGGCAGGTCACGTGGAGGCAAGTCACATGGGGTCACAGAGTTAGGCCAGCCTTTCCCAGGCCCTGGCTGTGGCTAAGCCAAGCTCCAGCCCATTTCCAGGTCAGCCTTGGTCCGGGATTTTTGATTTTGGGGGAAGTCCTTGTTGTATAGGAATGTCTGTTTCCCTACCCTGGGAAGATA